CAAGAAATGCTAAAATAATATTGCTAAGTTAAAGTCAAACTGATTAATATTGTATAGGGCAATAAGAACCAAAATTGTGATCTTCTTTAGGTGGACAAAAAATTTCATTTCATCTTATAAGTTTTACAGAATTGTAAAATGACTGGACCCTAATCAAGTGTGCTAAATTACAATTCTCTAGAATTAGAGAGTCAGATGCACTCAGATAGGCTTGTTAGAAAATACTCTGAGTGTGACATTAAAGCATTACGTAATCTTTTCCCTTAGTACTAGCTTCCTAGTGCTGCTATAATAAATTACCATAAACTAGGTGGCTTAAACATTTTTTTCTTACAGTTCTGGAGATCAGAAGTCCAAAAATCAGTTTCACTGAACTGAAATCAAGGCATCAACAGGGCCCTGCTCCTTCTGGAGGCTCTATAGGACAACATATTTCCTTGCTTTTTTATTTATTTATTTATTTATTTTTTATTGGGGAATTGGAGGGATGGGAACAGTGCTGGGGAATTGGGGGAAGGGGAACAGACAAGTTGCTGTCGTTTCGTTCTTCAGTCTAGTTGTGGAGGACGTTGCTTCACTGGCCCAAGTTGGCACCATCATTGCGCTCTTCCCGGGTGAGGCAGATCGGTCGCCGGCTTCTGGACGGCCGCTCACTGCGGCTGCTGGCTGCTCACGCTGGCTGCTGGCTACACACGGTAGCCCATGGCAACCCACTGCCACAGGGACTGCAGCCCACGCCGTCGTCGGCGACTCCCAGCAGCCCAGCTCCAGGTTGAACCGTTGTTCAGCATCTTAGCTGTAGAGGGCAGTGTCACTGGCCCTCATATGTGGGATCCGAACCGGGGCCCTCTGGCGTCCCAAGCGAGTTCTTAACCATCGCGCCACTCGGCCGGCCCTTTCCTTGCTTTTTACAGCTTCTAATACTGTATTCCCTGCTTATAGCCCCTTCCTCTATCTCTAAAGCCAACAGTGTAACATCTTCAAATAGCTCTGCCTCCATTTTTACATCACCTTCTCTCTTATAAGGACCTTAATGATTGTATCTAGCACAGCTGGATAATCCAGGGTAACTCCCCATTTCAAGGTCAATGGATTAGCAACCTCAGTTCCCCCCTTAACTCCCTCTTGCCATGTAACATAATATTGGGTTGTCGGAAACGTCATGAAGCGTTTAGGCAATAAAAAAACATAGAAAAAATACGTCATGACTTTTCCGACAACCCAATATATTCACAGGTTCTGAGAATTAGGATGTGGGAGATCTTTGGGAGGGGGCATTATTCTTCCTATCACAACCTTGTTGCAAATTTTGCATAATTTTTTATAACTTCATCCTGTACATTTTTTTCTCTAACTTGCTTTTTCCACCTGTCTTTTCACTCAGTACATGCTGTACATATCTGCCCGATTCTTCTTAATGGCCAAACAGTATTTCAATTATGAAATTACCAGAATTTAATCATTTCCCTATAGATAAAAATTTAAGTTGTCACCAATTTCTCACCATTACAAAGTGCTGTAAGGAACATTCCTATACATATCTCTTTAAATAATTGCGGCTATACTTCCATAGGAAAAATTCCTACTTTAAAATTCTGAGACAAAAACTATGTCCATTTAATTTTGACAAATACTGACAAATTGCCATCCAAAAATTTGTGCCAATACTTTACTGTCATACCAGTAATGCATGAGAGTGCCTGTTTATCGCCAACATCACTTACACTCCCTACTTGGGATTCACTTTTGAGTCTTTCAATATCTATAAAGCACTTTGAGATATCCACATAGGTTTTCCTGGCACAAAATAAGAATCTAATAATTGTTTGATGAATTGAAGGTTAGAACAATGTAAATACACGTGTACAACTCAGAAGCCTTGTCCTAACAACGATACAGTAGTAACAGCTACCGTAGGTAAATGTGCCTTGAATATTCTGCAGTGTTATTCAGGTATTTCCATACACAGAAATGTGTTCTTTTCACACTCAGTTATCATATCTCACTCAGGTTGGCCTTGTTACTTCCCAGTTTCACATGCTATGTGCTTTGTTGCTAAGGGTCATAACATAACTTTCACTGAGAACCTCAGAGACTCTAAGGTCTAAAGTGTGTGATTGATGGTGCCAGTCCTTCAGGAGGAAACACATAATATTATGGGTATATGCATCCCCTGAAGATATTAATACAACCCAATACAAAAGCTTCAGAGAATGAGGATTCCCACTTCTGGGTAGGTATTTTGGAGGGTCCAGAGTCAACTGGTTTTGTACTAAAGGACTTCTCAGCGACAGAGCCCCCTGGGTTTAGATGGGATGTCCTGATGAGTACCCTACCTTACAGCTGCCTACCCTGTTCCCACACTGGGAAGTAGCAGTCAACTCTAATGCTGAGGACCTTGATTTTGTGAGGTGCAGCCTTGAGGGTGCTAGCTGAAAGAGCACTGAAGGTAGACCTAGGCTCTCAGGACTGTGACAGCTTGGGGAAAGGGCATTATTCTCCATCATCCACATTCTGTGGCCTGCTCTAAGAACTAGGAGTCAGCTTCTCAGGGAGAGTAAGGGCAGTGTTGGCAAAAGTATAAGAGAATGAGCTTTAGCACTGCCCTCCTCTGGTTGGTTGTTCCTGGGGAAGGAATTCAGACAAACCTGAATGGAAATTGCTTGCTCCAGTTTTATTCCCATGACCAGGGTCTGGAAGATGTATGTTTAAGAACACACAGGATGCAAAATCTTGAAACTAGAAATAGGTCCTTCTAGCGTTCTCCCTCACCCCATTCCCACTCCCAGTACCAACCTACAAGTACATGTGAACACACACTTAGTTTTCACCCCAGGCTTTTAAGGATTTGACTCTTCTCTCTCAAGAGTGAATTTAGTGGTGCTCCTTAATAAGGAGTGTTTGTGAGAAAGAATGTTTTATATGAACCCAGATATAGCCCAGAAAATATTCCTGAAATCACTAACATACTAAAATTTCACAAAGGACCTAAGAGGCTTGTATCATGATTAAGAGTGTAAGCTCTGGAGCCTGAGCGCCGAATACTGAAACCTGGCTCTGACACTAGCTGTGACCTTGTGCAGGTCACCTCCCTTTTCTATGCATTAGAATTGTCATCTGCAAAACGGTGGATAATAACATTACCTACCTCATAAAGGTTGTTCTGAGGACTGAATAAAATAATGCATATAAAGCACCATGCCAGACATATAGTAAGTGCTCATTAACATTAACTACTATTTGATTCTCTTACTGTACCTTGTGGTTCTATGTCCATAGTCTTTAAAGCATTTGTGTGCAAATAGTATTAACAATTAGTTTATTTAGTACATTTCCTTACCATGTTCATTTGCCCATGGTAAATGAACTTAGCCTACCAAATTTCCAATAATATGAGAAAATCTGTTGTTACAATGGCCTATCTCCTTTCCCCCAACTTCGTGGTTCTGCCTTCCTCTTCTAAGACCAATTTGCTGGCCCCATCTCTGTCTCCTCTCCCACTCAGTCAGACTTGCCCGGACACAAGTACGCTGTGATGCTTTAAAATGTCAGAGGGTAAAACGAGAGTAGTCAATTAAAGAAGTGTTTGCAGATGGAAGAGGACACTTCCCCTGCCCCCACCACCACAGTCAACAATTCCATCTTCTCCTGTATATCTAGAAGACTGCTGTGGAACAGAAAAGCCACCACATATAGGAGGTTCTGAGGGTTCTCTTTTATATATATCTAGTGATACATTTGCATAATGTATCACTAGGATCTCTTCTCCTTGGGTAAGGGCAGCAGGTTTTTCAGGTCTGAAGCTGCTCCACACCTCTTGCTCTAACCTTCCTGCATTCCTGGGATATTAAGCCACTGAGGCTGTGGAGGATACATGAGGGAAATATGCCTGGTACAATACCAAGACATGCTTTTCTGCACTACGTAGCTCCACTTTAGCTCTAATTGGCCTGCCTGGCTTAGTGTGTTTCTCTTTATGTTTCATAGCACCCACACCTTAAGTAGATGATTCACATGGCTTTTATGGACCAAATTATAGTTCTACACTGCTTCTGCTTTTAATGGAGGGCATATTAACCAGTGGGGAGAAATTCTTGCGTGAATTTCAAAGAGGCAGTATTCTTCTGGAAGTCTAATAGATTATTTCTTTCAAATTCACCTTGAATAACATAGTCAGAAGACAGCAGTGTGAGCTTCTTATGAAAACCTAAGTTTCTTCATCATGAAAGATGGAATGAGAAAGTTGGGTTTGAAAAGGAAATCTCCACTGCTCCAAAGCAAGTCACTTCAGTCTCCCCCCCAATTAAGTAGTATCCAATCCTTTTAGCCCCAAACAGTGGTTGCAGACGAGAAAACCACACTCGATCTGCCAGGAAATAGGATAATTCTGGCTAACAACCATGCTACTTAGGAGAGGGAGCTCCTGCAACATGTCCTAACACTGGATAAGAGGAGGTGAAATGGCTAACGATAAAGTCTTAGCACAATCCCAAGAGTAAAATTGGATGGGGATGAGAAGTCTTACATTGGACTGATCACAATTTCTCGCAACAATTGTGGCACTGGTACACGCTACTAGTAAGTAAGTTCTCCCTTTCCTGATCTGTGAGGGGCAAGCATTAGTTAGGTAAATGCTGGGATTCTCAGTTCCAATAGTAACCTCAATTCCTTGGTTACCTTAGAGGCATTCAGCTGATATTCCCATCAAAAGCCCAACTAATATGAGATGTACACATCAAAAGACATGAAAAAGGGGGACCTGCATTCATTCAGTGGGAATGTGGGGATGATAAGCATATGGTCCCAGTTAGAAAATATAATTCTGTGTCAGAAGCAAGTATGAGTTCATATGACGTGGTTTACCTCTTCTGCCTTCACTCCACATTGGAGTGTCAGGCGTCACCCCAAGCCCAAATGACATGAAGATGATGTCCCAGTTATTATTACCTTCTATCTCCCTTAAAAAAAACCAAATCAACCAAATACTCAGGACAGGAGAAGACATAATGAAATGTTCATTTCTTCCACACATTAGAAACATTTTTAATTACAGTTCAGCTTCTCTGAGGTCCATATCAAGTAGCAAAACGTCAACAGCACAGAAAAGTTGGGTTGGAGGGAGTCCCTGATAAGGAGGCACGAAATGAGAGATTTTCCTCAGCCACTCCACTGGACAAGCTGGAGGCTCTTGCAGGTCCCTGAGAAGAAGAGTCATTCTGGCAAATGCCCAGAAGGAATCCTACCCTGCACTCCCTCCACAGAGCGTGCCTACGAAGGGCCACTGAAAAGAGAGGTCTTTCATGAATGATCACTAGTAAAATCCTAATGGAGAGCTAACTCATTTAGGGAGCAGATATTTTAATAGTAAGGGTATTCTTTTTAACCAGTTTCTCATTGGAATTAAAAGACCCCAGCCACGCTTGTAGTTATATGTTCCATATTAGTCAGACTATATTCTGGGGGGTACTCATAACTAGTAAGCCGTCACATCCTCTGATCAGTCAGGATATATTATGGTGGGATTCTGGGCCTTCTGCTCAGCCTGGGGAAATTTCAGTAATGCCTCAAGCAAATGAGCAGAGCTAGAAGGTCACAGAGAGATTAAGGTGCATTATCCTGTAGGGCAGCCAGACAGCTGACATGGGTGGGAGGAGTGCAACTGTTACCTCTGACCCTTCTAGGTATATGGTGGCTACCATGTTGCCCAAACATAGCAGTCAATCTTAAGGAAATAAAACCCATTTGGGAGCTGCTCTTTCTTCTGATAGGCTTCCCAGAAAACTCAAGAAAATGTCCTGGTAGTGACACACCCATAAGCCTCATCCTCTCCTTCAATTTCACAGTTGTTCTTGGCTACTCCCAGCCCATCCCCAAATACCCAGAATAAGAATCAGACAATGCTTTGCCTTGCTTCAGTATCAAAGGCTGGCTCCAAGTCCTCAACCCTGCCCCGAGGGTGCTGGTGGCAGCAGACACAGTGGAGGTAGTCCGCTATATTGTGAGTGAAGAGTGAGCGCAATGGATGCAAGTACTGGAAGAAAAGGAGCATGAAGCCAATGGAAATCAGGTAAGCAATGATGAGCTGCAAGGCAATCAAGGAATGGCAGTAATTCAGTAACACTTTCACTCCAAAGAACTTAAAAACCAAGATCATGATCACATTCTCTACCAATCTCACACTATAGTGCAGGCCCATATGTCCCCAGTTCTGACCTTTTTCCACAAGGTCCCTGTCGGCCAATTTCAATTGCAAAGCTGACCAGCAAGAGAAGTTGATGCCAGCATAGAGGATGGTAACGGAAATCAGCACTACCAGGGTGCCTACCCGGCTGAAATTTTTCTCAATGTTACTGGGCATCTGGGCACCACTCCTCCAGAATTTAACCCAAGGCTCAAAGAGAATGATCAGGAAGTTGAGCAGTAAGAAGGGCACAGCCTTCAACTTCAAGGTTGCTGAGAAGAGCACCAGAATCAGGAGGCGGGACGTGATCTCTAGCGTCCTCCAGATGGTGATGCAAAGGACTTCCAGCAGCCCCAGGCGGATCTTGTACTCATCATACTTGATCTGGATAGCCAACATATTGCAGAGTGTAGCCCCATACGTGACAGAGATCAGGGAAAAGGCCATTAGCACAGCTGTAAAAAGAAAGAAAAATAAAAACAAGAAACAAAAATAGTCCATCAGTCAATGTTGGTGAACCTTGTATTCTGACCCAGAGGTCCAGAGAGATGCTATGTAAACAAACAGCATGCACACATACACACACACACAAATGGAAAGGAATAAACTAAAAATATTTTTCATTATAGGGATTATGTCTATTTTTAAAATCTTTTTTCTATGTTTCTCGATTTTCTAAGTTTCCCATGATGAACACACACTGTAATTTTTCAATAATCATGAACATACACAATGGACTTTTTAAAAAGAGTGGGTCTCAAAACTAACATTGAGAGGTCACAAACACAAGAAGAGGACGTATAAAGCGATAGGACAGCATCTACCTGATGAAACAAGCTTCTGAGCAAACAATGAAAGACACAGAAAGAACTCTTATTTGAAAAAATACAGTCTTAGGAGGCTCACAGAGAATGCCTTTGATTATAGAAGTCCCTTCCTTGATGCAAATATTCTTCAAGTTACTAATCTTGTTTGTGTATACTTCTAGAATGTGTCAAAATGTACACTGGAAATTCCATGAGGGCAGAAGGGGCCATGTCCATTTTGTTTACTGCTGTATCTTGAGTCTAACACACTGCCTGGAATACAGTAAGTGCTCAATAAGTGTTTTTGAAATTAATGAAGAATTCTGAGGTTAGAGAAGCAGCATAAGATACCCACTATTAGAAGTCCTTGGTTCAGCTGTGTGGAAGCTTGTGAAAGTCATTGAATATCTGTGTACCTCAGTTTCCCCAATTCACTGAGATACTCTAGAATTGCTTGTATTAATCATCAGCAATGGCAATTTATCACCCCAATGCTTTGGTATGCTTTAGGAATTGCCAAACTTCCAGCAGAGTGGTTTAAAAATATGAAAACTCCGTTTCCTAACCCATGACATCCATACCACTATGTATTAGAATAGGGGCCCTGAAGGGTCAGGATGCTCCCTAACCTGCTATGCTAAGTCTCAACTACATGGCCCTTTCCTTTTCTTCCTTTGTATCAAAGGATACCAATCACTAAGAAAAATCTAGTGCTCTCAAGAAGAGAGCTGAGAGTACTGAGGGGTACTCATCCAAAAAGAACCGCTGGAGCTTTCTGTTCCCATAAAAACACTGCATCCAGAGAACTAGAGATGTGCAGATATCAATTTAATCTGCAAGAAAGGTGAAGGTCTTCCTATGGAAACCCAAAAGGAAGCACAGGTTTATTTACTTGATCTTTTTCAGCTCTAAGAGTGCTGGAATCTCAAAGACTGGAATGGGAGATTCTCCTAAATTGTCTGCTCTTAGCTGTATATTTATTTATTTTATTTTTCCAGTTTTATTGAGATATAATTGACATATAATATTGCAATAGTTTAAGGTATGCAACATAATGATTTGCTATATATAGCCTTAGTTTTATAAACCACTCTCAGTCTTATCCTCAAGAGTTGATGCTCCTTGTGGAGTTGGGAACATCAGAGCTTATGTATCCAAGTGTGGTAATGCTTTCCCTTAAATTAGAACTCATTCACTGATAGGAGAGCAATAAAAGGTGGAAAAGCCTGATGCTTCCAATAAGTACAAAAACACCTTCCCTCTGTCTCTCTACAAATAGACGCATGCCATAAGAGATCATAATGCTGCTAGTGAATTCTCTCATCTGTACTGATCCAGGTGGCCTCCAAGAGAAAAAGGGATTAGAAAAGGGGTAGCAAGGAGAAGCTAGAAGGAAAACTAAACCAAAAAGTTGTTACAAAACCTTAAAAGAGATGGTATTGTCAGGAAGTTTTTAATAGGAGAAATCACCGAAGAATTGAAAACAAGGCCTTGAAGAAAGCGTCCATGGCTTCCCCCCTTTGCATAGTATTGTAATATAGTTAGAAATGCAGGCTCTAAAGGCAGATATCCTGGATTCCAAACTAGTCTCTGCCACTTATTACTTATGGAACCTTGGGAAATTTGCTTAGCTTTTTAGTGCTTCTGCTTCCTCATGTGTAAAATGCAGATAATAACAATAATTATTCCATAGGGTTGTTGTGAAGATTAAATGAAATAATTACATGTAAAGGCTTAGAAAAATGCCTGGAACATAGTCAATGCTATCTGCTAGCTCCAACAACAACATCATCATCATCATCATCATCATCATCATCATCACCACACTGTATTTTCAAAAGTGTAGTAGGTGCATTTAATTTACTTAGACACTACCCTGACAGTTTGGAAACTGGGTGATTTTGAAACTGATGGAACACCTAGAAATAAGCCTTACAAAAACGTGCAAGTCCTTTATCACAAATAGTTTTCTTGCTATATGTCTTGCACACATATGACATAGATTGTGGTGAGGTTTCATGGAAGTATACTTATCTCCAAATTCATCAAGTTGTATACATTAAATAGGGAGAGGTTTCTGTTTGCCATATACACCTCGATAAAGTGTTTCAAAAATATTTAATGAAATGGAGAGATGTATTATCTTCTAATATGAAATTCATTGATCCTATAAAGATGTAAATTCCCTCCAAAATAGCTTAAATAATTTCATGTGATCTCAATCACAGTCTCAATGAAATGCTATTTCTGTTGTTGTTGTTGTTATTGTTTGCTTTGTTTAGATTTTTGGTGGGGGGATTGACAAATTGTGGAAATTCATCTACTTGAAGATCAGGCTAAACTGCTCTATCAGATATGAGTTGTGAAAGGCCTTTTTTTTAAAAAAAGGCATAAGATCTAATATCAATAAATCATTTCAATACATACAAATGTAGTACTTCAGAATGCCAGAAGATACAAGTATATTGTGTATCTACACAACATGTGCTACACATGTGTTCTGTTCATGCAACATGTACGACATGTATATGCACATTTAAAATGGGTATATACACAAACACAAAACATTATACAAATGTGTACATACATATTTATCCACAGCAGAGAAAGGGTTAATAGCCAGAATAAGTAAAATTAATTACTTATTCTATAAATTAATAAAAAGATAAACTCACTAAAAAAATTGACTAATATATATATATATAAATAAGCAACTTAAAGAACACAATGACCAAACATGAAAAGATGCTCAGTTTGCTTCATAATAAAGCAAATTATTTAAAAAATCAGTTATTTTATAATTATACAACTAAATGTTATTTAGTTTAAAACATAAAGAAACAGGCATATTCATAGTTGTTGGTGAGAATACAAGTTGATACAACCTTTAGGGAGGGTTATTTGGCAGAACTGATAAAATTTTAGACATGCATATTCTTTCATCCAGCAATTCTACTACTCAGAATTTATCCTACAAAATCTCATTCTAGTACACAGATGTCCACTGAAGCATAGTTTGTAATTAGAAAAAACTTTTTGTGTGGAAAATTAGACACAAACTTTAATCCTATGAATAGAAGGTTAGGGAAATAAGAAAGAACCAATTCATATAAGGGAAATCTATATTATATAGTTATCATTATTATATATGTATGTATAAATAAATGTTGAAGAAAAACATATCGGTATACTTTCGAGAAAGACGTGTTGCTGAACAGAATGCTTAATACAGTCCTTTTTTTGGCAAAAATATATATACATATATGTTCTATGTATGTTTATATTTATGTAGTAAAAAGAAGTCTGGAAGGATATATACTAAATGACTAACAGAGATTACCTTTGAGGAGTGAGATTACATTTCCTATTATATATATAGTTTTGAATCTCTACCATAATCTTATTTGATTTTTATAATTAAAAAAATATGGAGCAAAAATAATAAAATGTGATCATGATAAAAATTTTGAACATACACAGAAAGGTATAAAGTAAAAAGGAAAAGTTGGATGACTCATTTCCACTCCCCAGAGGTAAATTGTCTCCTGCATATCTTTCCATAAATTTTCTGTGCATATACAATTATGTGTAGGTCCACTGGTTTGTTCATGCATTACCTTTGTAATGTATACATATTTTAATTAGATGATTTGATGATCCTCAAAATTCTCAGGAGGGAAAGCATCATCATTTCCAGAGATTTTTGTCTTCACACGATTGTCTATTCTAGGTTTGTGAAAAGCTTTAAGACCTTGAAGTTCTAATGAACTTCATGAACAATTCTTAGTGCAGAAAAGTAGAAAAGAGGGCAAATTTCCTTTTCACATTTGAGACATGGGTGTTTGCCAAGCAGGGTAAGTACCTAATAATAAGCTGTACCCACAGCTGTACCTGCTCCAGCCCAAGCAGAAGAAGCTAATCTCAGACTGTTAAAACTCATTCATAGTATTTTATCTCAACTTTGAAAACAGTGACTCACATTTCATCCTTTGCTAGGATTCTTACTCATCTCAGGATCCCTCTTTTACAAGTTGGAAATTAAGATGCCTATTTAATCAGCACTGCACCTTCACAGAGGTCACTCACATCAAACATCTCATTTATTTACTTATTTTACAAAAGCTCCTAAAAGAATTTAAGTTTTACGGATTTTGTTAGGATTGGGAGCAAGTCATGATTCCTATTCACTGTCTTCCATAAAAACAAGAAAAATAAAACAAAACCAAAAGAAAAAAAAAGTGAGAAATTAAGACAGTGAACTCTTTGGTAACTTCCTCCACAGATCACAGAGAAGATCAGAACTGGGACCAGTCGTGACTCTCAGACTCTCATCAGTATTCGTCCCACACCCATTCTCTTTCTCCCCAGTGGGAGATGTGATTAATATCACTGGTTCCCAAATGTAGCTCACCAAAATCAATCGGCTACATTCAAACACATTTCTTGCCTCCCCACACTCAGATTGATTCAGGTCTGAGCAGAAAAATGTGATTTTACAGAGCAGATTTCACCCAGTAATATGTTTTCTCATGATCAGTAATATTTGGGAACCTCTTAAAGATACTCATCCCTAAACCAAACAAACAAAGCAAAACAAATCTCTCAGAATAGTGTAAACAATCTGGGTTAGGGAATATGTCCTACTGACTGCTGGTATTACTAGCTTCTTCTGGGCCCAGAGAGAGTTTATCTGTGGCATCTTTACCCCAGTTTAAGAAATCTGGCAGGCCTGAGGTTTCTGGATCCCCAAGTTCTTTGACTATCTACCAGTGTTGTCCATTAGAATTTTCTGCAATTGATGAAAATGTTCTGTAATACCTGTGCTGTTCAATAAGTGACCACTAGCCACACATAGCTATTGAACACTTGAAATGTAGCTAGTATGACTGGGGAAGTAAATTTTTAATTTCATTTTTCTTTTTAAATTAAATAGCCACATGAAGCTGCTAGCCAGTGTACTGGACAACTCAGGTCTAGAAATATACAACCCTTGATTGAAATGGAGCCCTCCCCAATCCTGACCCCACTCACCTCTACCCTGGGGGACCTCTGCAGAGATCAGGGTCACATAGAGCTGATAGGTCAGCTGGGGCACTGAGCCCAAGAAGGCTTGGATCTGTGACATACGTTTGTAGGCATTGCGGTGCATAGCCAAGGTCCGGATGGAGTGGCCCACCTCCCATTCTATCAGCACCTCCTCGCCATTTATTAGCATCTTCTTTCGGGTGAGGCTGACATAGGGCTCCTCCTGCCCTTCTTTCTTCCACAGTGTGAGGTACTTAATCATGGCCTCCAAACATCTGCAGAAGTAAAGCATCATGGGATCTTAACTAAAGCTGTCCTGTGAAGGGAGGTTGTAGTGAGGGGGGAAAATAATTCAGGTGCTACTTTTTGCCATTCCTTCCCTCCCGTTCTACTCATTTTTCATAAGTCAAAGAGTTGGTCATGACTTCTACAAGTTACTTGAGTCTAAATCTTTTCTTTTTCCCCTTGTTGGTCACGGGCCAACCTAAGAACACCATTTCAGAAGTTTTTTGAGGACTTAAGGAATTGCTTTGTCTTCTTAAGAATAGGCCTGTGGTAGAAAAGTGCATTGAACACAAAGATATAAAATAAATAATATGTTGAGAGGGAATAATGAAGGTTCCAAAAGGCCCTGGATTTCATAACACCTCAAATTTCTGAGGTAAAAAAATTCCTAAGTCAAAGCACTCGGCTCCATAATCAGAGCTCCTGAGTTCTGCTTTTTCAAGAAAACAGTCCACAGCTATGACTGTCTCAGCCAAAAAGCCTTGGAGGGAAAAATACCTCTCACATACAAGGAAAAGGCATTTAGCAAGAAAGGTACTTAAAAGACTTGACAATTCAGAATCGAATGTACTATGTACCTAGAAGACTTCAAAATATCTTTCTAAAGGTTGCTTTCAGGGCCTCTTTTCATGTTTGGGGACAACAGCCTTTTAAACACCATTCTTTACTTACAAAGAGGAAAACATCCTTATAAAAGTCTACCATCCTTAAAGTCACGGTAAGACCACATTTCCTGCTGCACCCGTCCTATCTACCTCATATAAATCAGAACTGCTTAGCAGTTCTGATGTGATGAATAGAAGTAAACAGAATGGGTTGTTATGGAACACCTGAACTACCAATTCTCCATTCACCCTGAAATGAATGGAAATTGTAGACTATTTCTTATGAAGTGTGTATTGAGTCATCGGAAAAGTCATGACATATTTTGTCTACGTTATTCAAAGGTCATTTATTTATATAAAGAACAAAGATCAATCAATGATATATTGCCCATTTTGTTCGATAACCTTTTGCCATCTTTCAGTGAGCTTCATAATTCCTCGTTCATAGAAGGACCTGTCTTTATCTGCGAAAAACTGAACGAGGTGCTGATTTACAGCCTCATCTGAATTGAACGTTATAGCACACAAGGAGTTTTGAAGAGAGCGAAACAATGAAAGTCTGATGGCGCAAGGTCAGGCGAGTATGGTGGGTGTGGCAACACATCCCATCCAAGTTCCAATAATTTTTGACGGGTGATCAAACTTGTGTGTGGTCTCACATTGTCGTGATGGAACACAACTCCTTTACAATTAATGAGCTCTGGACATTTCTGAATGATGGATTTGTTCAAACTGTCCAATTGTCCAGAGTACACATTCAAATTGATTGTTTGGTTCCTTAGGAGAAGCTCGAAAAACACGACACTTTTAAAATCCCACCACACTGAGAGCATAACCTTCCTCTGATGAATATCTGCTTTTGATGTCGTTTGAGGCAAATCATCATGTCAGGACCAACACCGTTTGTGCACCACATTGTTGTAAACAATCCACTTCTCATCACCAGTTATCAGTCACTTCAAAAAAGGATCGTTTTCCTCACGTTTAATGAGCATATTGCAGATGTTTATATGCGCTGTCAAATGAACTTCTTTGAGTTCATGCGGAACCCAAATATTGAGCTTGCTTATGTATCCCAGCTTCTTCAGGTGGTCGTGAACACTTGAAT